ATTGTCTTGCTGACTGTGTCCTTTGCCTTACAGAAGCTTCTCAGTTTCATGAGGTCCCATTTATTAATTGTGGATTTCAGTGTCTGTGCTACCGGTGTAATGTTCAGGAAGCTGTCTCCTGTACCAATTATTTCAAGGGTACTTCCCACTTTCTCTTCTAAGAGGTTCAGTGTAGCTGGATTTATGTTGAGGTCTTTGATCCATTTGGACTTACGTTTTGTGCATGGTGATAGATATGGATCTATCTGCAGTCTTCTACATGCCAGTATCCAGTTATGCCGGCACCATTTGTTGAAGATGCTTTCTTTTTTCCAATGTATAGTGTTAGCTTCTTTGTCAAAAACCAGGTTTTTGTAGGTGTGTGGGTTAATATCAGGATTTTCAATTCGATTCCATTGGTCTACCTGTCTATTTTTGTGCCAGTACCAAGCTGTTTTCAGGACTATAGCTCTGTAATAGAGCTTGAAGTCAGGGATGGTGATGACTCCAGAAGTTCCTTTATTGTACAGGGTTGTTTTGGCTATCCTGGGCCTTTTGTTTCTCCATATAGAGTTGATTATTATTCTTTCAAGGTTTGTGAAGAATTGTGCCGGTATTTTGATGAATATTTCATTGACCGCAGCAACTCTTATAAAGGAAAGCATTTAATTAGTGTGGGGCTTACAGTTTCTGAGATTTAGTCTGTTATCATCATGACAGGAAGCATGACAGAGCATAGGCAGACATGGTGCTGGAGAAGGAGCTGAGAGTCTTGGGTAGGATTCTGTAAGCCACACTGGGCATAGCTTGACCAAATAAGAGATTTCTTTTTTGGAGGCTGTCCTGGAACTAGCTCTTGTAGACCAGGCTGGTCTCGAACTGACAGAGATCCACCTGCCTCTGCCTCCTGAGTGCTGGGATTAAAGGCGTGTGCCACCAATGCCCAGCTCAAATAAGAGATCTCAAACCCACCTCCACAGTGGTAGACTTCTTCCAAAAATGCCACCCCACTCCATAAGGCCCCAACTCCCAATAGTGCCCCTCTCTATGGGCCAAGTATTCAAATACATGAGTCTATGGAGGCCATACATAATGAAACCACCACAGCACCTTTCATGTTGTCTGAGTGCAAATACTTGTCTTCATTGTAATGGGGAAGAGAATGGAGACAAGGTTTATAGTCTGACCTGGCTTCCTGCCTAATGTCTACTTCCTGGTCTACCTAGCTGTGAGTATAGCAATCTTGTGTTCCTTGTGGAACAGCCAATAGCTACACTTTTGGCCATGCCTTCCCAGCCATGATGGGCTGTCCCTTCAAAGTGTGAATGAGAACAAACCCTTCCTTTCTTAAGTTGCTTTTCTTTAGCTCACAGTGACCAGAAATGCCGATAAACTGTGAAGCCCTTCAGTCACTGCCTGGTATTCTTCTAGCAACTGCCATGATGAGGTTCCACCAAAACCTAAAACATTTTCAGAAGGGGAGCCAGCCAGAAAAGTCTCTGCAAGAAACACTTTGTATGCTAGTAGTGGGGTTATATTACATCCCTAAACTAGAAAACAAATGAACAAGTAATTAGCAAAGGCTGATGCAGTTTTCCATTATGGTTTTTGAAGTGAAAACTGAGGCAGTCAAGTTCAATGTCTCTCATTCTGTTCTCCACTGAAGAAAATGCTTGTTGAAATTTACCAACTAAATCTCAACAGCTCTTGTCACTCAAGTAGCATTTCCATTTCCAACTGATTCTTGGAACCGGGGAATTGTCATGCAGATGGGATTGTTTGGTGAAGACTTAATGTGTTTTCCTTTTAGAAGCTCTCCCTGAGGAATTTCACAAGAACCAACAGTTACACTAAGCTTAAATGAGTTGTTAGTATTCAGACCACTTCTATGTCTCCATTCTTTGCTGCCAGGACATGAACTTAACTTGGCCATCCCACTCAATTAAAGGAGGAGATAGAAGAATGGTACAAGACAAATTAACCAGAATATTAATCTGAAGAAAATGCCACTTGCTCTCTGATCACATATTTCATGGAAAATGCTGGAGAGATTCTTATCAGTTAAAAGCACATATTGTTCTTTCAGAGTACCAATTTTGACTCCCTAGCATCCAAGTCAGGGTGTTCATAATCACCTATAACTCCAGCTCAAGGGAATCTGATAACCTGGTTTTCACAGACACCTGTACTCAAGTATACCTTTGCCCTCATCCCAGATATAATAAAAATAAAAGAAATCAGAAAAAATTATCTTAAATACATTTAGAAACTCACCAAACTTTCTCAGTTAGATGTTTGCTTGCAAACATGTTCAAAAATACTGATGGGTCCACACAGCCAAAATCTTTAAATGGCATCAATGATATCATTTTCAAGAAGCCTATGTGGTTACATTCAGTCTTCGTCCATGTGAACAGACAACCCACCAGAAAATAGAACCCTGTGTGCATCGATCTTTTGTGATTAACATCTGATAAAGTGATTTCTTATAGAAATGAAATTGCTGTATTCAACCTGAGGCTCATACCACAATAAAACTCTGTATACCGATTATCCCATCTCTAACCATCTGTTCAATACCTGAGATGTTTGCCTTACCTCATAAGACCAAAACTCTACCAAAAGGCCCAATCCCATTTAGCTTGTTTCTTGCTACTATTATTACATAGAGGAGCTATGATCAAATCTTAGGGGAATAACAAGCAAGAAGTAGACACACTTTACCCAAGACACACTGCTGCAATGAAGCCCAGAGGAAGAGAGCAATAAGAAAAGGCGTAACTTGCTTACAAAATAGTGAGCTGGGCAAAATTTTATGAAAGAATGCAGAATGAGCCTCTGGTTTAGCCAGCAAGGCATTGGAATAAGGTGTTATTCATTAGAAGGGAACATGGGGAAGGATAAGGAACATGAATAGACATTTGAATGGCCACATAAAATCTGCTACTATAGAAGCTTCCTAAAATATATACAAATATAAAAGAAATCTAAATGGAGTCACCAAATAATGGTGAGACAGAGCCCCAATGAGAGATCTTATACCACTCATGTGGAAAACACAGTGCCAGGAATAGGTTTCATGCAGTCGTGCTATTTGTCAAAGGGGTCACATGGAAATCCCCAAACATCATAGGCTACTATCAAGGTTGTTGGTTGCTCTCTACAAACTGAAGGGACGGCACTACTGCTGAAGATAATACTTACACATCTCATCAGACACTGAGAAATTAACCTGGTGCCTAACAAGAGGCTTCTGCTCCACTGATTAGTGTTAGTGGTACTGGAAGGTCCTCTTCCTGCTGTAAGAGGAGAAAAGTGACCACCAAGACAGCTACAAATTGGATCAATAATGTCACAAACATGGTGGTAGCAGCCAACCATTCTCTAATGGAATTTAAGGCCCATTCCATGAGGTGGAACCCATGCCTGACCCTGCTAGTGGCTAAGAACCTGAGACTAGATAGGACATGGACTCAAGGGAAAATGAAATACTATTGCTCAGCTAAAGGAACATAGCCACAAAATGACTCCTAAGGGCATCCTGCTGTACCTATAGATCAGTGTCTCAGTCAGCCATCATCAGAGAAGCTTATTCTTGCAGTAGATGGAAATTAACACAGAGACCCACAGCTGAACAGCATGCAAAGAGTACGAGCCTTGAGAGAACTCAGATTTGAATCCACAAAATTCTTGCTCTTGGGGACCAGCCATCTATGAGGAAGAGGAGGTGGAAATACTCTAAGAGCCAGTGGGGATAAAAGACCCCGAAGAAACCATGCCATATAGACACAAGACCGCTGAACATACATATGAACCAATGGATACTGTGACAGCATACATAAGGCTTACGTGTGTTCAAGCCAGATGGATCGCAGCAATGAGAGGCAGAAGTGGACATGGAAGCTATCTGAAATTGGTAGCTACAGGCAAAAGAAACATTGGTTTTCTCTAATGGAGATTCATTAGGTAAGTTAACCATACTTGAAGGTAGGCCCCATGTCCAGAGGTAGATAGGCAAAACAAAATGAACTCAATGGTATCTTTGTGGGCTCCTTGACTCTCATGTTGCTGTGATTAGTATTTTTTTTTAATTTGTCTTTGTTTCTATATTGCAATTTCTAATTTTTTTATTTTTGTAGGTTTTTTTCTTTTAGTTTTGTGTGTGTGTGTGTGTGTGTGTGTGTGTGTGTGTGTGTGTGTGTGTGTGTGTTTAACAAAAGAGTATGAAGTTGGGTGGGTAGGGAGGGGGAAACATCTGGGAGTAGTTCCTGGAAGAGATATTGTGATCAGAACATAGTTTCTGAAAAAAGTTTTTCAATAAAAAGTAAAACAACCATCTCAATGACAACAACAATCCTAAGCAGTCATTTAAGGAAGCAAAGAACTGGAACAGTGGAGATCCCAGGTACTCAGTGGAAAATTCCATATAGATTTGGATTATGCCTATGCAACCAGCCTGCATTAGAAATATCAGTCTCCTCTAGTGATAGGCAGGCTATTTAATGCTCCAATGCAGAGTCTCCATTAAAATGGGATTAGTGCCTGTTTGGGAGGTGGGATGAAGGGCCAGATGATAAGTCTCCCAGTTTTCACCTCTCACCGGATCTGAAGACAGCATCAGAAAGCCAGCATGGTGATGAGGGGGGAGGAGTTACAAAATGACATTGATAGTATGTGACAGCCAACAATAATGCCAATCAGTGGTCTGTCCGCTGAAGGATTGTTTCTGTTGTCACTTTAGGTTTGTGCTCCTGAGTGATAACAAAGTAGAAGATCTCTGCATGAATTAAACACAGAAAGATCACAGGAACACTGAGTTCAACAAGTGGAGGTGGATAAAATAACAGTTAAAATAAGACCCTCCACGTCTTTCCAGAAATGAGAACAACAGCTTTGTAAAGGTGTCGCACAAATGCGCAACAGTAAGTGACTAACTGAGCTTCTTATGCTCTGTGCTACTAAATTTACATATAGAACCTGAGAAACAGTTCCAGAGATAGTGGCCTAATTTCATCTGCTCAAAAAAAAAAAAATATGAGGCATGTGACATGCTAGGTACTGAGCTAACAAAGATGAGAAGAACAAAAGTGACCCTACTTTCATGGAATTCACATTCAGAAGACAGAAAAGTAAATAGCTGCGCGTGAAAATGATGTCTCATCCAGCGACTGTTTGAAAGGAAAATTATATGGAAAATACTTACCAATGAAAAGCAGGGGGAAAAAAGAACATAGTGGAGATGTGTAATGCATTTTCAAATGTGTGGCTGGTTACACTTGGAAAAATTCAAAGCCAACACGTTAACATTTTATCATTTGTAACAGTTATGAAGGACAGGAGGAGACAAACAAGTATAAGAGGTCTATCAAACCTAAGGGTATTCTAGAAATTCCTAGCCATGACTATAGTTGAGAAAATTCTGGAAATAATACAAATAATCAGAAAATAAAATCATTCACAATAAAACCCTGCTGTATCAAAAGAATTTACTATGCAAATGATTTCCCTATCACAGTTTTATGGCTTAAACATGTAAAATCTCTCTCACAGACTCCTGTTGATGGCACAGTTTTAGGGGACTAAAGGATATTTAGAAGGTGGGACCTTGCTGGAAGAACTCTGTCTTTGGGGTGCAGGCCTTAGGGGCTATAGCTTGGCACTGGTTGCTTGTTGCCTGAGTCATCTCTACTTCGAGATCCCTGAGGATAAAACAAAAGAAGCAGTCTCTTCATGCTGGGACCTCCACATGGTACCAATATTTAATGCCTTTGCCATTCATGATGAACATCATTTCCTCTAGGACTGTGAACCAAACCAAATTCTCCTCCCTTAAGCTGTTTCTTGTCAGGTGTTCAGTCACTACACAAGGTTATTCAAATGCTCTCCTGTGGTCAGGGTGTCAGTGAACAGAACTTGGAGCCACACCCCTGTCTCACACTGAACTTTTGGCTGAGGAAACTTTCAATTCTCCACTTTTTACCCAGTTGCCTGTCTTGATCCATAAATATTATTTTTGAAGCTTCAAATCCCGACTCAATATGCTCCCTTGGAGTTTAGAGCTTGCTAGCCTGTATTGATATTTCAATGTGTTGTTTGCAATTTATGATGTCTGAGGCCTTTAATCACAGGGTAGTCTCCGCCTATGCCTTCTGGGATGACTTAACTGAGGGCAGTAAATTCCTGCTCTCAAATGTAAAGTCGAGGGATCCTGAATACAGGACTCAGAGCTCCTTCAGGAAGCCTGGGGGGAAGGTGGGATAAACTTCTATTTGGTGTGATTTACAGCCACATCTATGGAGAAAAATACAACACAGTGTCAGCAATACAGCAGAGACTTCATGTTTTAAAAAATATTATTTTTCAAAGTGCATCCCCGGTACTTTCCTCAGATTGAGTCTGAAGCATTCCTAAACAAAGATACACTTGGAGGTCATTGACTTTTATCTTGCTAGGTTGGGTGTCATCCATTTCATTTGGCATTATTAAATTTATCCTCTAACCTTCAGAACACCTTTCTATTATCCATCTTGCCCAGGAAAGGGTCATCTTGATGCAGTGGCTATCATGTGAACTTCAGGATTGTACTAGGTAACAAGCAGCCATAGGGATAGAGAGAGGAAGAAGAGGTACCATCCAAGGGCCCTAATTGCTTACTTGAATCTTGAGGAATTATTTAGAAATGATCATCATAGATTTGCTTCAAGGAAAACAGACACCTGATCAGTACACGAGATAATTTTGTTTCAAAGTGAACCTTTTATCTCCCTTTCTTCTCCCACCTCCAGTGGGAATTCCCATGTTTTGCTTTTTTTTTTTTTAACCTTCCTTGTCCTCTTTGCAATGATCCAAGCATTATTGTCTTCTTTTCATCTCATTTCTTCTCAATGGCTGGTTCTTTGCATACAGAAGACATGCAGATAAGGAAGCCAGCAAAACACCCATCTAGAAAGTCTCATCCTTTCACAGATAAGGGAAAACACAATAGAGAACAGAAACAAAAGGAAGAGGGGGAAAGAAAGGAGAGCAAAGGAAGAGACTTTTGAGGTGGAGGAGAATAATAGGTATAGAAAAGGAAAAAAATGGTGAGCATATCATCTAAAGGGGTAAATTACCTTCACTTTGCTCTGCTTAATTTTGTACATTAACTTTATCTTTCACTATCAAAACTTTTTGAAAGTTAGGTGTGTTGCAACCAACTTCCTTCTGTGTTGAGCGATGGTGGATAATGAACTTGAATAAATTCAGAGAGTCACTAGGCTAGTCTGGGTTCTTAAAAAAAAAACATGCTAAGTATACATTCAAGAGATTTGGAGGAGAAATAGGCATGACTGTGAAGGGCAAGGATGGTAAAGTCATGGTGAAAGACCTCAGAAGAGGTACTTTCGTAGAAGGAGACCCGCACCCAG